ACCGGTGTATCATTATCCATAAAATATTGAGGGTAGTTACTCTTGCTGGAACTGTTTCTAATCAGTTTATTTAATATATTCCAAGTACCTCTCATGTTATTTTTATTATCCTCTAATACTTTAGAGTAATATAGTTTCTTACATCTCCTCAAAATCTCAATTAATTTGTTCTTATATGACTTATATTTTTCTTCCGCCTTCTTTGATCTGTCCTTTATGAATTCCTTATATAACGCATTCTTCTTTTTACATGCATTCTGTAATCCCTTACTCATCCACGGTTTCCCACTGTAATTCCTCTTGTTTTTATACTGCTTTTCCCCCAGGATCATTGACAACATGCCAGTGACATGGTGCTATGATGTGGAAGATGATCAGAAGTACTGCAACCCTGGCTTCCCTATCGGCTGCCTCGTTACGCAAGACGGTAGAGCTAAAGATGCTTGTGTTATCAATGTGAGTTATGATTTCTGTTCTATTAACATTCTAAATTTTCCCTAAGTGGTCACCTGCTTGTGGTGTTCACCCCGATACAGTATATTCTCTGGTTTCTTGGATATGCGCTGGAAAGATATAACAGTTTAACAACTTCACATCTACTAATAACTACTAAGTCTAATTATTCCCCTGTTCAGTTCTATTATAATACATATCATTTTGTTTATTTTATGAATATTTATAGAACATGTATAATAGCAAGAAAAAGTGAAACCTTTGATTCTGTTGTGCATTTATGTATAATTCAGTCTGATAATATGGTCAGATCTCCATCTAAGTTACAGTTGTGAACAAACGTAGCTTATTTTTACACACATTGTTCTGTTCTTGTTTATACTGAATACATGTTTTGAGTATTCACAGTATAAGTTGGGAAAAGTATATGAACTCCTGATCTAATGACATTATGTGTTAGCTCTACTTTGACTTATAAAGAACTCAAACATTTTGAGTGTGTGCTTCCCAAGAAGCATCTGATGATGTGAACACTGCCTTGGGGAGAAAGAAATCTCCAGAAACACAAGATAAACAACTACCAATTTGCACAAATCTGGAAAAGGTTGCATAGTAAATAAGTAGTATCAGACCACAGTTAGTCAGATAGAGATGATTTTGTGCTGTAGTTATATGTATTATCAGCTTAAGCACATTGTGTTTGTCTGTTCTTTATGATTTGGATGAAGGTCAGATCACATTTTATGACCAGTTAATACAGAAAACCAGGAAAATCCAAAGGGTTCAGTTTTTTTTTTGTTTTTTTTTTTTTTTTGTTGTTGTTATTACAAATTCTTATGAGTTTTTCAAATATAAAAGTAGACAATGTTACAATTAACATTGAAAATCTCAATTGATTGGTTCAGGTACAGAACTGTATAACTAACAAAAGTAAGATAATGGTGAAGTCTGGGGCAGTTTTAATAAATGTCTTTGAATTAGACTATTTGCAAATCTTATCCTTGGGAATCAGAGTACCTGATATTAAGATTTTTTTTTCCCCTAAGTCTGAGTTCAACAAGAAGAACACATTTTACGTCTTCAACCATGTGGACATCAAGATCACTTACCACAGTGGAGAGTCAGAAGGATGGAGAGGGGCTCGGCTCGTTGGTGCCACTCTGGAGCCAAGGAGGTAAATGTTGGTTGGTAGTAGACATATTTGATATGATGCAGTGCACTGCAGCTGAACTCACCAGGCAAAGCTAATACCAGAGTCATTAAGAATCGAAAATGAAGGTTTTTTTGTGTTTGCGCACAACAGTATCAAGCATGTGGATGAGAAAAACCTCAACTGCGAAGTAACCAACCCAGTGCAGGTCCCTGTGGAGTTTGAAAATGATGTGGCGATAGTTTACTCCTATTCTGTCACATTTGTGGTAGGCCTTTAACCTATGACTAATAACTGAAATACAGCATTTACATATGTAACTATAATAATGGGAAAAATAATGTTTTGTTTGATAAATTCACTTCCTGTTTGAAGGAAAACAATTCGATCAAGTGGGCATCCAGGTGGGACTACATCCTGGTCTCCATGCCTCACACCAACATCCAGTGGTTTAGGTATGATAACATTTAACACTCTCTGTCTGAAACTGTCAGGCTCTTGATACTTGTTAGTTGATGCAAAGGTATGTGTTGTGTGTTTTTACAGCATCATGAACTCCTTGGTCATTGTCCTCTTTTTGTCCGGCATGGTTGCCATGATCATGCTACGAACGCTGCACAAGGACATTGCCAGATACAACCAGGTGGACCAGGTAGAGGCATTACTGAGTTCTCTCTCTCTGTTGGAGCTGATCAAGATTTGTATAAGAAGCACTAGCATACAACATACTGTACATAACATAATGAAGATTCCTGTTAGAAGAATTATAGCTAAAACATTTAACTCACAAATATTAGAGGTGGCAGTTTTCACCTAGCAGTAACAGAGTCTGGCCATCTTTATCAGAGTTAGATGGCTAATGCTTTAATTCTGCTTTGTATAATACCATTGAGTGCACTGGGTACACAGTACCCAGAGTTAAGAATATGTTGTTATATTTCACAGGTAGACACGGTAAAGTTTTCACCGGCCAAGGAGAAATCCCCTGTACTCTATGTAAGCTTATTGAATGCTGTTTAAAAAAAAAAAAAACAAAAAAAAAAACCTTTGTGGTAATTAAATCAGGTGTTTGGGTTTATGATTGCAGATAACAGGCACATTAGAACATAATATAAAATGTGGTGTGTGGACATTGTTTAATTTTAATTTTTTCTAAAAGGGACTTGTACTCAAGAGTTGACTGAAGAGTTTTCCCAGATTTCAAAGAACTGATTTTTCTTATTCTTCACCCAATTTTGCTTTAGTATTCACAGCTTGGTGGTTGGTGAATCTTATAACATTTATTATAAAGGTGCCTTTTCTTTTTTAAGCTTTGTTTTTATTGAGTTTTTTTCTTTTAACAATAATGACAAAATACAAAGAAAGGTGTCAAGCTTGACAAGGGCAGCATTAGAGTGGTGTAAATAACCAGTCTTGTGGTGGTTTTTACAGTGGTCTGCAATGTGCAATCAATCTTCCCAGTAGTTTCTTGATTGTGACTGTGGCTGTTGCTACCTCACTGTCTGCTTTCCTTCTCAGGAAGATGCACAGGAAGAGTCGGGGTGGAAGCAGGTGCATGGGGATGTTTTCCGTCCACCCAGGAAAGGCATGTTGCTCTCTGTGTTCCTCGGACAGGGCACCCAGATCTTCATCATGACCTTCATCACACTCTGTAAGAGCTGTTTGTCATTAGGCTGTAATATGTAATCCCAGTACTCACTTACTGAATTAGTTTTATTATGAACTACTGCATTGTGTTCACCACATAGAATACATGATGGAGCAACACTGATGTCAAGTTCTTTTAGACATAAAATCATTATTCACTGGGAACTTCAACAATTATTTGAAGATCACAAAATCCTCACCACCACACACACCCACACACACCCACATTCCTGAGATTCCCAGCATTCACCAGGTTTTCAGCAGAATTCTGCTCTGGCATTGCTTTAGTCTGAAGAACAGTAATCTGTATGTATATGGCAGGTAACTGTCACATATGATTCATCTGTAAGTGCTGTTTTTAAAACTGCAGTCAGACACCTTCTCAACTGTTGTCGATCAACTATACCGCTGATATGCATAATCATCATAAAGTTTATCTAGTCGTGCTGTGACTTTGTTTTGATGCTATAGTCTCTGCATGTTTCTGCTGTTTGTATTTGGCACTGTAGTTATTCTGTTACTTCCAGGTGCCAGTTAAAAGATAGGCAAAATAGTGGCTCTTTGTTTTTAAAGGTAAAACCATAGCTGGTTGAAATACTCTCTTTTTTTATTTAATGACTATTTGAATATTCAATGAAGAAGACATTTAAAAGAATAGATGCCATCATGGGTTTTAAGATTTATAGGACAAGTAGTGGCAGTGTAAAAACTTGTCTTTGCATCTTTAGATTTCAGTGGTTAATTTCCAGTGTTGCCAGTATGTCTGAATAAATTGATGATGATGATGATGATGATTGATTGTACACCGTAGTCCTGGCCTGTCTGGGTTTCCTATCACCGGCCAACAGAGGAGCTCTCATGACGTGTGCTGTGGTCCTCTGGGTTCTGCTGGGCACGCCTGCTGGCTATGTGTCTGCGCGTCTTTACAAAAGTAAGAGTCCAGTGAAAACTTTAAAGCAAATAGTCAGCACAGACAGTGTTACAGTTAATGTGGTCCTTCTTACCATGATGATCTCATCCATCTGTTTCTGTTGTCAGCTTTTGGAGGTGAAAACTGGAAGACAAACGTGTTGCTGACAGCTCTCTTGTGCCCAGGGTACGCTCACTTAACACATTTGCTTAGCTCTTATACATTTCTGTCCTTGAGAGCTGGAGTGATGTCTGTCACTGTACACTCATTGGCCACTTGATTAGGTACACCTGCACAATTGTATGTAACACTTGCACCTTAACATCTGGGTTTATGAAGCTCAAAATGTTTGTTTTTTTGCAGAAATTGTCATGAATGTATACATTGAATTATATGTTTATTATTGAGGTCATAGTTAAAGGTGGTGTTGTACTGGGCTACATTATATTCAGAGGTGTCTCTATATTTTTGTCCTCCCCAGCTCCGTACATGAGCGGGTCAGAATATTAGGAACACATCATAGAATTTTTACAGCTTCATAAACGCAGATGTTAAGGTGCAAGTGGTGCATACAATTGTACAGGGTGTACCTAATAAAGGGGCCAGTGGGTGTGTATGCCCTCTATTTTGTGTACACTGCTACTATCTACCTCATGTGTTATCCTCTCTGTTCCATTGTCCACCTCTCTTCCCTAGCATTGTATTTGCAGACTTCTTCTTAATGAACCTGATCCTTTGGGTGGAGGGTTCCTCAGCAGCAGTCCCATTTGGCACTCTGGTGGCCATTTTGGCTCTGTGGTTTGGAATCTCTGTGCCTCTCACTTTTGTTGGTGCCTACTTTGGATTCAAGAAACCTGTAAGTTAGACCTCCTGGTTTTTTTTAAATTTCTTTAGCATGAAGTAATTGCCTGTAGAGAAAATGTATGTGTTTTGAGGGTTTGTAATATTCCATCTCCTTTTCTGCTCCTCTGTAGGCAGTTGAGCAACCGGTGCGAACCAACCAAATCCCCCGTCAAATTCCTGAGCAGTCGTTCTTTACAAAACCCATCCCTGGTATAGTAATGGGTGGAATCCTACCATTTGGCTGCATCTTCATCCAATTGTTCTTCATTCTCAACAGCATTTGGTAAGAATACAGAAATGCAGTTTTTCTTGATTATCAAGCATATCTGGTTTGACAGCAAGGAGGAGCATAACTCTTTGCCTCGTGTTGTTTGGGTTTCAGGTCTCATCAGATGTACTACATGTTTGGATTCCTGTTCCTAGTTTTCATTATTCTACTCATCACCTGCTCTGAAGCCACAGTTCTTCTCTGCTACTTCCATCTATGTGCTGAGGTACCTGAGTGTTCAGAGAATTTTGCCTCATTTATTGTACTTTGGTTTATAAAACGAATTACTTTGTCAAAAACAAACTCTCTGTAATAGCACATACTTTTTTTTTTTTTTTTTAAATGAAAACACATTAATATGAGATAAACATGCAACATAAAACCCAAAGCAGAAGCAATGATTTCAAAAGCATCTTCCTTTTGGTCATGCTCCTTAATATCTGACCTTCATACCCACATTTTCACCTCACAGCACTGAAAAGCACTGAGTAGTTTATTTCTGCTTTTCCCATCCAGTCCAGGCTGAATTTGAACTGTTACTGTATTTCTGGATCCTTGCATGTCTTCATTTGTCATGTGTGTTCAGGACTACCACTGGTGGTGGCGTTCCTTCCTGACCAGCGGCTTTACAGCAGTTTATCTGTTCGTCTATGCTGTGCATTACTTCTTCTCAAAGCTGCAAATAATCGGAGCAGCCAGCACCTTCCTCTACTTTGGATACACGCTGATTATGGTCCTCATGTTCTTCCTCTTCACAGGTAAGGCTTGGAGTTGAGTGCATATCATGCTTTTATTGGTGAGCTCAGTTACTGTGACTTGCCTTACCATATGGTCAAGTCAGAAAAGGGTGTGTAGTGTTTGTTCAGTGTTTTTACAGTTTGTCACTTCAACTATAGCGTGAAGATTCAGGATTTCTGTCCTGTTTCTATGATATAAATGACACAGAGGCAGTGTCCAACATTTGTTTGCTTGTCATTTAGCTGAAGCCACGCCTTGGTCTTATTTTTATACTGGCATTACAGAAGCACTGTGTCAGTGATGCTGAAAAGTTTTATTTGCAAGGGTCCCATTTAAACTGTCATTTTCAGTTTGAAGTTTAATGAAAATCAGAGAGACTTAGGGAAATTAGACTTAAATGCTCAAAATCCCTCTTGTTCAATGTGGTTTTGTAGACTTATTTAGGCCAATTCTACCATCTGTGGTTAGCAGTTTGACAAGCCTGAGCCTAGTTTTATCTCAGTTTCTTTTTTGTTTGTTCTTTCTGTAGATCAAAAGGTATAAGCACCACACTCACATGTTGCATGGATGAAAATATGTATACATGTACTCAGGGTTCTTAACATTGCTCTTAAGACAGTTTCACTGTGCTTGTAATTAAAACCAGCTGTATGATTAAGGGTGCGCACACCTATGTGCCACACACTGTTAATAAAGGCAGGATCAACAGAACATTGGCTCGCACTTTTATCTATGTGTTGAAAGACAAATGTTGACATGGTAGCAGTAGCCTGTGACCTGTCACACCTTGTCCAACTGTCTGGTACACCCATTGTGGCATGACTAGGCATGTGGGAGGAACTTGGATAATGTCCAGGGCTAGATAACTTGCAAATGATGAGTAAATACTTTGTGGTGTTATACCGTGATTAGGCCAGATAAGTCGGCCTGTAGCCCTGTTTGTCACTGCAGCACTGTTTGGACAGAGCTGTAAGTAGCAATGGGATGAGATGTCAAAAGATTATCCCCAAGAAGTAATCAAGGATTCAAGAAAAAGATGATCAGTTTCCCCCCCCCCTTGCTTCCAGTTTTGATCTAAATAATCCTATTCACTCTCATTTCCAGTTTTTATTTTAATGTCTTTACTTTATACCTCACCCAAACTTTTGATCACGGTTTAATTCGGTGTTGAGGTTGCACAGCTCCCTTTGAGCAGTCAAATAGGACTTTTCTACCAAGATGAACTGGTCCAGGACTTTGACCAATCTGGCTTCTCAGTTTTGAGGGAGTTCAGGCAAACATGCTCTTTCGCTGACAAAATGAGTGCAAATATTTCCCCTCTTTGGTAAATAATTTCTCTCCCCTGCCTCATCTTCTCAGGTACAATTGGCTTCTTTGCCTGCTTCTGGTTTGTAAATAAGATCTACAGTGTGGTCAAGGTGGACTAGAGGACTGACGGAAAGACTGACTCCGTGCCGTCACAGCACTGGCCTCTTCAGTGTGATTTTAAGTGGTCTCAACAGACCTGAAGTGAAACCATCATTTATCATAGAAAAGACCCGAAGAGCAGAGCCCGTCCTCTTTTGTGCTTTAATCCTACGATGCTATTGTTTTCTCTTTTAAAATATATGGAATTTTGTGTTCACTGGTGAGCAGTAATGTTTTGAGTGGTACCTTGAAAATCTGGGGGTTTCAATGATCTAGTGGTCATAATGAGAAGTGTGTTTTTGGGGGGTTTGCAAATGTCTTTCTAATGGAAGTAAAATGTTTTGTATTTAGCGTTTGGTTCTGTCCAATCACTTTTTTTTTGTTTGTTTGTTTTTTTTTTGTTTCCTGTACTATAATGATGAAAAATATGTGTACATATGTTGTATAGAGAGAGACCCAGTCAGGGAATGCTAGTTAAGATTGTCATCATTATATGATCTTCGATAGAAGCTTGTTTTCTTTTGCTGTAAAGATGGGGCTTTAAATCCTTAAATATGGGCCTGTGTTCTAGTTCAAAAATCATATAAAACACTGATATTGCTATAATACTTCCCATTTCATTGTATTTGATGGCTTTAATTAAGATTGCATAGAACAAAGGGTTCACTTGATTGAAAAGCATATTTGTATCATAGAAGAATATATTACAGACACGGTATGTTGCACATTAAAAATGCTCTCTCAGTGCCATGCCTGACTTGTTTGGCCACAAGACAGATTCTCACCATTATAATGAACTGAATTTCATCATAAAGTACACATGCATCATTAAGCTGCACCCTTTTGGACTTTAGTTAATAACTTGTGTTACTGTAACTACACTGCTACCTTTTGCTTCAAGTAGCGTGAAGTCATCACCCAAGGTGATAAGGTTTTTACAAATAAAGGCAATACTTTAAAATAAAGGCCACATTCCTTTTCTTTGAGCCATTAGAATGCATATATGAACATGGCAGAGTCTTAAACATAACACAATAGGATTCAGTGTTTTTCCTCTTGTTTTTCTAGACTAAAGCAAACGTACAGCAAACAGGTCTTTATGGTTATTGCACAAGTGCTCTGACAGGTAATGATGGAATGCAGTGTGCTGTGCTGTTGGCTCCATTCCTCCTTATGTGCAATTATTCATATTTTGGACATGACAGTCTATGCATTTTTATAGAAAGTTTTTTTTTTTTTTTTATAACTCAAAACGTTTTTTTATGCTACTGAAGTACTTTACTACAAATGCAAGACCGAATTTAAATCTGGCAAGCATTTAAAATGTGCTTTGCAGTCTATCTTCTTTTCATCTAGCATCATGTGATCTAAACCTTATGTATTCGGTGACACAATCTCACTTCTCAAAAGTCACTGGAACTCTGACGGTTATACAAAATGTTGTTTTGCCTGATATATAGGGTTTAAAAAAAAAAAAAAAGACTGCTTACATTCTCACCTATGATCGACTTTGTCTTAATTTGTTATAAAAGACTTGCTTGTTAAACTGTACAAAACATGGCATGATGTTGCATCACATTACACATAATTCACACATAATTCTTTTATTAAACAACTTTTGATGTTGAATAATGAAACTAAATAATACAAAAGCACAATAAAATCACAAAAATATTTAGTTTTAACGCACCCAAAAACATAGTTTTCTCTTATTTGCAGAGTAACACTGACAAAGTCATTATACAAGTGTGATTGTCATAAAATATTGTGGTATAATTATTCTGTACTATTATCACTTGGACTACTGTATAATGGATTTTCCCACTGACCTTTTGAATAAATCAAGACTCAGATTCATCTGATTCCTCTCAGCTACAAAAAGTTGTGACTAATACAGTAAATAATAATAATACACCCTGGCTCATTCTGCCAAATGACATTTTTCCCAAAGGTTATGAAAACATGGGGATGAGATACAAATAATGCACATAATATTGTGATGCACTTACAACATTCTTTGGCAAAATCTTCCTAATGAACTCGAAGTGCTTTTTTCTGAGATGAGTCACAGAAGGCGTATAACATAATTTCTGTGGCTTTAAACAGACTAGATGGCTCCAATGTGAATATTCTATCAAAAGTATCTTTACAAATCTACATGTATTCAGTGGAATATAAGAAATCTGTTACTGTAAAGAAGATGTGGCATGTGGCCTACATAAAAATAACTGGTGCAAAAAAAAAAAATCCATCAGAGTTAAAGGGCGCTCTCTACGCATTGTGATGTTTGACATTACAAAAGCAGCAAATAATGAGTCAAAATATACTGTGGCACTCATTTCCAGTTGAGCTAGTTTCAGGATACAAAGGGACTGACACAAC